GTGTGGGGAGGGGGGAGGGAGCGCCCTGCCATGAGGAAGTTCGGCTGTTTCTGGCGTTTCTGGTCCCCACCTGTCGTTTTGCTCCTCAGCATGGCTTCATAAAAACACTGCAGGATTTCTCAAACATGCATGAATGAGTCAGAGCAAGGCTTTGGGCATGTTTTTATGAGAGTATAACATTATAACATGATATAAAGCTCAAAAAAGTTGATTTTACATGATATTGCCCCTTTAAGCTTAGATGTAGGAACATCTACGAGAAACTTGTTGGATGACTGAAGTGCTCTAACTGAAGTGTGGATGTTAATTAGATCACACAGGTAGGATGGGGCCAGACATTTTAAAGCTTTAAAAGTAAGCAATAAAATCTTAAAATTTATCCAAAAATGAARAGGAAGCCAATGGAGAGAAGGCAAAACCGGGGATATGTGTTCAGATTTTTTATATGTATATTTTTATTTTTTAAAAGGGGCAATATCATGTAAAATCAACTTTTTTTGAGTTTTATATCATGTTATAATGTTATACTCTCATAAAAAACATACTCAAAGCCTTGCTTTGACTCATTCATGCATGTTTGAGAAATCCTGCAGCGTTTTTTTGAAGCTATGCTGAGGAGCAAAACGACAGGTGTGGACCAGAAACACCTTTTGGTACCAGAAACACCCCTGGGATGTGTCTTTAAGCTGAACTTCCTCATGGCGGGAGCACCCCTCTCTCCGCCCATGACTCCTGCAGGCTCTCGGCAGTAATAGAACAAAGTGAAAGTCAATCTTAAGCTGTCTGCTGAGCTCTCAACACTATTTCTCACTCAGTGAAGCTCTTTTCAGATTCAAAATACCTTTMAGGAAATATATTTTCAGATGTCAAGTAAACTGCATGCATCATAGCACACGAGCCCCCTGCGCGCAAACATCGCAACCCCACTGAAATGGGTGGGACAGAAGCAGAAGGTGGTTCTTAAAGAGATAGAGGCCAATTTCAAGGTGTTTGGAAGAGGAAGTGATGAGAAGATAAGTTTATTTTCTATTTAAACATAAAAACAGCATTTTAATAACAGCTAAAGGTGACATAGTTACTTTATTATGGTATAGGATTTAAATGTATTGCCCCTTTAAGACTTTTTTAGGCCTAAAATTTAGATTTTCAAATTTTTTACTCTTTAAGATCCTGCACGAATCCTGAAAGGAGTCAGCAGAGGTGGTACGGGCATCTGATTAGGAACAACTTCCTTTAGAGGTGTTCTGGCCACGGGAAAGACCCAAACCTAATTTCCCTCTGGGATCAACAAATTATTTTTGAATTTGAATTTAATTTGAACTTCGTGGGGGGATTATGTTTCCTCTCTGGCCTGGGAACGCATGGGGGTACCCCAGGACAAGCTGGAAAGTGCCGCTGGGGAGAGGGAGGTCTGGGTTTCTCTCCTGGACATTTTGCCTCCGTGATCCGACTTTGGATTAGTTTCAGAAGATGGAGATGGAGAAAGTTAAGTGTATTTTTTGATGAGGGGGTTAAAACATTAGTCTTTTTCAAGAAAAGTTGACACATGAGTATGAATAAAAACAGATTCTGTTTGAGAGCCTTTGAATTAAAGATGGGACCTTATTTTAATTAACAATCTTCAGCAAAGAGACACAACCTGACAGGTGAATGCAAAACTCAGGTGACACACCTTAAAGATCCGGTCCAGAAGCCTGTTGTGGATTGTAGATGCAGCACAGATGACTCCGTAAGCAAAGAGGAAGGCTCGGAAGGCGGTGAACACAGTGTTGGCCGCAGCAATGGAGCCATAGACTGTCAGGTAAAACTTGACATCCCCATTCACGTTGTTGGAGAGGAAAGTGTGCAGAGAGGGCATAGGAGACCTAGATTGGTAGATTTAAATTTTACAAGTCAATAAAAAGACCTAATGWGTTTTAAGAGCCTTGAACTCCCACTGTATGTGTGTGTTTTTCAATAACTTACAATACTCACAATGTTTTGGCATCATGAACAGCAGATTTATATAAAGATTTGGGGAATTTCTAAACTTAATTTCACTTGAATAAAATGTGTGAACTCAACAAAACAGATAAAGGGACATTTCATAATTTTTAGATTTAAATTCAGTTTTTATTTTATTGACTTTAATGAGCCAACTTACATGAGGCCACCAGTTGAGAAAAGAAGCAGGTGAGGAGGAACTGAAGAAGAATCATTTCCGCAGCTGGAGCTGTTGTTTTTTAGTGATAAGATCCAGTAGGAGAGCCACCAGTCAGAGGCATTCTTAGAGGCTGAACAATACAAACACGTTTAGACAAAAACACATTTTTTTACTATATGCTGCAGAGCTGTTATGTATAAAACAAACAATATACAAAAAAAGAATGATATGAAAAATCTCTAAAGTGAGCTATTCTTGTTTAACTGATAGAAGGAAAAAACACAAAACAAAACAAAAAGGAAAATATGCATRTTTGTTTGATTAAAAAACATCTAATTGTAGCTTATTGCACCCAATATTAAAAAGAACCAACAAATGGAGGTTTGCAGCAAAGTCAGCTTTTAACACACTGTTGTTGTGTTCAGTGGCGGAGCCAGACATTTTTCTCAGGGGTGGCCAGACTGGGACCACTACTCACACAGGAGTGGTCAGGAAAATTACATCAAATTTTACTTAAAAGTTTCTGCAGATATTTGTGTTTTGGTCATTTCCTTGTGRCCTTATACAGGCAGGGACTATCTTATAAACATGGGCGTCAGAACCATTTTAAAAGTGTGAGGACACACTGTTGGGGGGTCTGGGGGTCCTCGCCCAGAAAAGTTTGAACAAAATAGATGCCTTTCCTGCATTCTGGTGTATTTTACCAGGTGGTTAAACATAGTTTTACCTACATGAAAAAACAACTTGATTTAATTATTATTTCAGAGGCAGATTCTTCATTAATCTAGTTCAATCATCCTGTTTTTAAACTCACTGCTACTGCTGAGATAAGGTTAATTAATGTGATACAATTTATCATATCCAATGACTATATGGGAGCTTTTTACTTTTATATTGTTTATTGATTTATTTTTATTTGTAACACATCATTGTGCCAAATAATGATGACCTCAACTGCATGTTTAAAACTAATATTAATAACTTTACCCAATGAAKAGGTGTAATATTGATAATCATCAACAGTGAATTTAGAGGGGTGTTTCACTTTTTCTGATTTAGTGATAGGTCTACTCCTAACCAAAAGGGACAGAGCATCATGCAGCCTTCACAGCATAAAATGACACTGTGTTATGGTGACAAAAAGAAAAAAAACATTTGTCACCATAAATCAGATTACATAGGCATATGTTCTACATACAGTATAAAGGAAACAATCCCTTCTTTGTCACTTCTTTGAGCTTGTTGATGTATCAAACTGTTAAAAACTGCCACCAACTGTTCAGGAGGATTATTACACCCCTAAAGGTTGTTTCACTGTGGAAGCGGTGTGTACAGCAGGGTGGCCAACGGGGTGGCCAAAGATTTGTCTGTGGTGGCCATGGCCACCCCTGGCTCTGCCCTTGGTTGTATTGTGGCCTATAATTTGTTAGACAGAATAATAAAGCTTTGTTCATTTGATATTGTATTAATCTAAATTTTAAATCTAACAATGACCATGGGATATTTTATTATTTCCATCCATCCATCTACCCACCCATCATATTTTACCAGCCTCTTCCTCTTCGGGTCATAAGGGTCACTGGTGCCCGTATCCAGCAAATGAAACCTGAACATTTAAAAATTTTTATAAAAGAACTGTCCGTGGACATTTCAGACCTTGCATGAGGATCAGAGACATTAAGATGGAGGCAGCAAGTGCTCCACCCACAGCCAACCAGTAGCTCTGATAAACTCTCCAAGCCAGTCCACCTGCTTGCTTCTGTTCTTCACCCAACAAATCAGGATCACGATCCACACAGAGTTCAGGGAGAGAGCCTGGACCCTCCTCTTCTTGCTCCATGGTATCTGAGTGCAATCACAAAGCATCAAGAGAAAACATGTCTGTAAAAAGTAGTACAACTSTAGGGAAACACAGATGAAACAGACAGGCTGGGGAGTGATGAGCTTCCTTATCAGGCAATTTATACCTCTAGAAACAGTGTTTTTAATGTTGATTCTGGCTAATAAAATATTGTGCTGTGCTGTCAATGTGTGCTGTGCTGTCAATGTGAGCGTTCTAAGAGGGAGGAGGCTGTAGGATGAGGTGTGTGTTGTGAACATGTGCACAGAAAAAGAGGGGGGACTAAAAATGATAATTATTGTTTATGTGGCAACACTGACACACACGCAGTCTGGAGCATCAGAAAATAAGCAGTTACATCCAAAATAATGAAAAGAGGAAACTAGATTTGGACCGAGGATGAGGTTAAAGCAACATGTTGAAAAGGGTGAGTGGAACAAACAATGTTGCTATCAGATGCTCTTTTGCTTGAGCAGGTGCAGAAAACTATGACTGCAGCTGCAGGTTGAGCATATCTTTGATTTGACACCTAAAAACCMCCACTCTGACATCTGAATGGAAAAACCTTTTATTTCACAGAGAATGTGGTTGTCGTCTACTTGAGTGGCCAGACCGCAAAAGACTCTGTTTCAATCAAAACTGGCATTGTGTAAACTGGGCCCAACTGGTGCCCTTTCTGTAAATGTTTCAAAATACAGTTTCTCTCTGAGCCATGCAAAGAAAAATTTACCCACTCTGCATTGTGAGGGTGGGAGTTTAATTTAAATCAGAGATTCTTAACCTTAGCCCAATTGTGTGCCACCTTGAGGGCCTCAAAAGAACAACAGTTTTTAATTTTGGGCCGCAGAGGGCCGTGGGACCACATTGATTTTAAAWAAGGTGCAATACTAGGTGCAGCACTCACGTAGGGGTTTTGGGACACAGGTGTGTTACAGCGGCAACAATTTTACATCWGTTTGCTGTGGCCACCTGGGCTCCAATTTTACTGTACACCTTAAGACATTTACTCATAACCTCATAACATTTACACATAGGAACTTGGGAGTGGGCACTTATGCATGTAAGGGGCGGGATGGGACAGTCTCGCCACTGATGCCTGTGCCCACTCACATTATTTTCTTTTAGACATTTAGGGTTAGGGTTGGAGCTGGGGTGGAGGGGAAACTGGCATAGTGCTGGCCTCTGCCC